TTTTTTTTTTTTTTTTTTTTTAAATCTTTGTCTGAATTCTCTGTTCTGCTCCACTCTCCATGCGAAGGACGACGCTGTAGTCTTTGAAGGCATGCATATATGGACCACATTATTCCAAAGAATCTTGAAAGGTTTCTGATGATGCTGTTGATTTGATGATTCCCTTGCACTGTATGCGATATTCAGCAACTGATATGTTCTGACTTTACCGGATACCTTTCATCTTTTTGCCCTCCTTTTCTTGCCTCGGTTTCATCTCTGCAGTATCTGCCGCCATATGTTCCTGCAAAACAAAGTTTTCCCAAATAAACAATTCTCTACGCCATTCCCTATGCCCCATTCCATTCCCACCTTCCCATCTCTCCACGACCCCATGTCAGTCACTACACAGCTTTTTTATTTTTTATTTTAATTAAGACTTTAAATAAAAAATACAAAATTTACAACCATATGAAACTTTATTTGTGTTATAATTATAGGTTGTTTGGATTAGTTTTTTTGAAATAGTTGATAATTGATAGATTGATATTTAATATTTGATACTTGATAATTATTGATATTTATAATTTAAAATGTCTAATCCATTTAATCAAAATTAACAATTAATAATAATAAAAATAACAATTAATAGTTCTCAATAAATTAAAACAAACACCCTTTTAGTTTTTTTGGGTTTATAGGTCTCACTATAACTCTTAACAAGCCAACATATACTCTGCATTAGTGTTGATAATAATATTAGTTAGTATTATATTTACATTTATATAAAAAAAAGTATTATATTTACATATAATATATTATTGCAATGTTGTATAAAGTTATAATTTTATATAAAATTGTAAATTTATAATATTAAGTGACATTAAATGAAATACCAATATGATATTATCCCAAGTAAATACATACAAATATCATGAGTAGACTTCTAAATAAAAAAATTAACTATATAATGATATATTATAACTTTACAACATCAAATAACACTATAATTGTAACATTTTGGATATATTATTGAAGGATAATAATATTAATAACTACGTTTCAAAGCCACGCTATGGGCAGTTCATCTTTATTATATCTTTTTTTGATAATTATTAAATATTAAAATATTAACTTTTAAATATAAAATAGAGTAATACATTAGTTTACATTTATTGTACAGTTTATATTTCAAATTATCAGTGCATCCGCAACCATCATAAGAACCATTCAGACTGAAAAATCTGATGAACGAAGATGAGAGGAATTGGGACATTAATAATCCCTTTTATTTATTTATTATTATTATTTAACCAAAAGATTACTTTTATTTAGTTTTATATTTATGTAGTAATCATTATCTGTTTATTAAAAAAGACCATGCCAATACATATTGAAGGTAAACATGCTCTTAACGCAGTGGTTGAAGATATTCAATTAATTACTAGACCAGAGAGAAAAATGTTCGTTAATGTCATGCAGATACCTGAGGGAAATAATCGCGTCGTTCGTCTTAAGAATGGCTAGTATAATGTTTGCAAATCATTCAATATAAATTAAGGGTAATAATTGATACACTTTCTTATTCAATACACTTATCAATAGTCAAGTGGTTCAATCATTAAACTTTGCAAGTAAAATTTTTGTCATCTTGAATTCAAATCTAAAAATATAATTTCTTAAAGAATGTATTGTGAAATATGTTAAATAAAATAGTGCACTAATCATATTGTCCATAAATTAAAGTGATACTATTAATCATTAAACTTTGCAAGTAAAATTTTTGTCGTCTTGAATGAAAATCTAAAAATATAATTTCTTAAAGAATGTATTGTGAAATATGTTAAATTAAATAGTGCACTAATCATTGTCCATAAATTAAAGTGATACTATCGAATTTTACCATAGTTGTCTGTACTAGTACTAGTCAGTATGTATCGGTTTTTTAGGTTGATCGAAATGGTATGGGTTTAAATTTTGTTTTGGTCAAAATCCAGATATTTTAGTCAAACTTGAGTGTACTAGCCGATACATCGAAATTGATAAGCCAAAATTCAAATTAAAAAAGAAACAAAAAAAAAAAAAAAGAGAGCAAAAAGGTAAATCAGTTCCTACACTCAGTGAATGGTGGCAAATCAACCCCTCAACTAAAAACAAACACAAATAAATCGTTTTAGCCATCAACTAACAAAAAATTAATATATTTAATTTTTAATTTATGGTATTTAAATTTACTTATTTATTTTAAGATGTCATATAATATTTTTTTTAAATAAAAATTTTAAGGTGGCATATTTGCTTTAATTCAAAAATATTGAGAGATGATTTACATATTTGGTCCTTAAAATTCTTTTATTAATTTTTTGTGACAAATAAATTATGATTAAATTAGGGTTCACTTATATATAAGTTTTATACATTATAGTTAAAATAATCTTAATTATTTGTCTTTTTATTTTTAGTAGTTGAGATTTATTTAGTTTTATCATATTTATTAACCTTATATTTAAGTTAAGGGAAATACAGGAGAGGAAAAAGAAGGGGAGGAGAATTATTTCCTTTCATTCTCCTTTTATTCTCATTTATTCGTCTTCCCTTCCTTCTCCTCATTTGGACAAATAATTAAATTAAAAAATAAAAAATAAATGAAAATTTCCCCTCCTCTCTTCAATATTTTTTTTATAACCAAATAAAAATATGTTTTCCCTTTCCTTCTTTTCAATCTTCTCTATTCTCTTCAAATTAGGCATATTATAAAAATAATTATTTTTTATCTAAAAATTATGATAAATTTCAACTATTAAACATTAAAAAATGAATAATCAAAATTATACATAAATATGATGTGTAAAATTTATATGTAATTATATCTTAACTTATTATAATTCTAAATATATAACTGAAGGGTAGTTTCAACGATTTTCCCTTAAGTAAAATTTAATTAATATTTCATTTGTTATAAAATATCTATCTTTTTTATAAACATATATATTTATAGAGATAAATCCAAAATGATACGCAAAAAAT